TTACCTGGTGATGAAGCCCCAGTGACCACAGTGGGGTTTACATCTGAGTAAACTTGAATATAATTGCACTGCACAGTACAAATGAATGGCAAATGGAAAGCCTGATTCAAGGCTCTTTGAGGAAAATTGGTTTTAAATCAGTCTTGAAAAACTAGATGTATAAGCCATTAATATCAGCACATTGTACAATTTTGGGTGTTTTTACAATTTTTTAATAATTTGAATATATTTTATGTTTTGTACAGTATGATTGCATCTTGTGCACAATAAAATTGTGTGATTTCAACCTTAACAACTCTGTGCCTTGCTTGGAAGGTAAGGATGGTTGTGCAGGGGCAGTTTCAAGGGGGTAGTTCAGGTATGTGCATTTTTGCAAAAGATGCCATGTGTGTACCTTATATATGTGATTTGAGCTGGGGCAAGGGAACAGCACAACTAAGTGTAGAAGGGCCCAGAAGACATTGTTTCAAACAATCCTCAGATTTCTCAACTTCCTGTAAAACTGTGTGAAGGGTGAAGTTGTTAAGACTACTGATATTATAATTTGAACAACTTTATCCTTGCCAGAGTTTTCACTTCACAGATTTTACATTGAACAGCAGCTATACTCCCTCTAGTGGCCAACTATTTCTGATGTTTTCCACAGGGCAACAAAAACCAGTTATGTTGCATTGCTAGCCTATCCATATGCACATAGAATTGTGAATGTTTGTAATTCTCTCTCTCTCTCTCACACACACACACACATCCTGGACGTGCATGCTTAATAACATAAGCAGGGTCTAGCTAGAATAGATCCAATCAAGGCTCAGCTAGTCTGGCATTTTTATTTTTGCAAGAATCCCAGGAGCAGTAGGCACTGGACACTCTAACAGAAATGGGTTGGAGATCCACAGCAATCAACTTTCTGCCCACTCTTGTTTTATAGGGCAGGCTCTGAGTAGAGAAGAGAAAAACAAAGTTATTGAAAATGACATTTGCCTTCCACTACCTTGCTCTCCTTCAGTCATTTTGCTAATTACTCAGGAAAGATTCTGAACATAAATCCTTTTGAGTGACAGAGAGGTAACGTATTTTAACTGCAGTATCCCCTCCTGTTGTTGTACTGGATGCAGGCCATCTGATAAGCAAGCTAGGAATGCTGCAGCAAGCAGTTTTGTTGATATAAAAGCTATTTCCATAGAAGTTCCACAGAGGCTCCGAAATAATTTATTTTTGGGATGTTAACTCAGCAACAAGAAGGTAATTTTCTAAAGACAGATGGATATGGAAGCAAGCAAATGAAGAGTGAGATCCATATGCTCTTTGACTACACTACATTGATGAAACATAATGTACTTTTTTCAGAGGATATAAACTCAAATTTATGACGGGTATAGTTAATATTATCACACTATTTATATTGTTCCCTCAGATGCTTGATTTATAACTGTCTGAGAGAATTTAAAAGAGATGGCTTCTATTGCAGAAAAATAGAGGCGCTCTACTCCGCTGTCATTTTTGAATCCTGTTTATTGGCTTGGCATTTGAAAAGTTCAAATGTTTTTGTTCTTTTCGCTTATAGCTGCAGACATGCTGTCAGCTTTTGTCCCCAGGTCCTCAACTGCTGTCAAATACTGACTTAATTTGTCATGAAAACAGCAGCATTCATATTTTGTAACCTGTTGACATATTGATTGTTTCTCCAGAAAAATAATTACAAATATAATCTGAACTATCTGTCTTGCAGGTTAATTCTGTGGCCTTCCATGTGGAATTCCATGGAAGAGCAAAGGAGAAGCTGGGGGGTGGCGGGTGGGGGTAAAGGCTGGAAGCACAGGTGAAAACTGACACACAAAATTTGTCCAGCCTGCTCTTGTACATTTCACAGCAGCTTCAATGGGAGAAAACATGAGGTGAATAAATTACCCAATTGGAATTAAATTTTCACCATCAACTAATGTCTGCATAGCAAACTGCCCTTAAAGGGAATGTTACAGTGGCATTAAGCCAATGAGGAGGGGAGGCATAGATTACAACCAGCCCTTACTTTAGTTGTTGCATCTTCTACCTTTTAATTTCTCCCATCTAAGCAATATTTATGAAAAGGCAGATAAATCAACCTAAAACCACAGAGCCTAGGGCTTGCCGATCAGAAGGTTGGCAGTTCGAATCCCCGCGATGGGGTGAGCTCCCGTTGATCTGTCCCTGCTCCTGCCAACCTAGCAGTTCGAAAGCACATCAAAGTGCAAGTAGATAAATAGGTACCGCTCCGGCGGGAAGGTAAACGGCGTTTCCGTGCGCTGCTCTGGTTCGCCTGAAGCGGCTTAGTCATGCTGGCCACATGACCCGGAAGCTGTATGCCAGCTTCCTCGGCCAATAAAGCGAGATGAGCGCCGCAACCCCAGAGTCGGTCACGACTGGACCTAATGGTCAGGGGTCCCTTTACCTTTACCTAAATTGAGCAATGGAGAAATATATACCTTAAGATACCTTAATGTATCTTCTTCTTCTTCCCCCACCCATTTGACTAGGTTGCCCCAGCCACTCTGGGTGGCTTCCGACAAAATCAGAAGGTGAGTGCCTGCATGATTATATACAAAACATGGCCACTAAGAAATAAGATGGAAATATTGACAGAATGCCGAGATTTAGAAAATGTTTTTTAAAAAAAATTCTGGGAGGAGGAAATGATAATAATTGCATAACAGTCCACTGAGGTATGAGCATGTTTAGCAGCCCTGGAAGTGGGGAAGGCACTTACTACTTAACACAATGGTTCCTAACTTTGTTTTGGGTCACAGACCCTGTTGAGAATTTGATGAAAACCACGGAGCCCCTCCCCAGACAACTGCACATAAACACATACAAGATTTTGCAGACAACTCATTTAGTTGCATTGAAATTTATCTATTTTCTGCCTGGTTACAGACCCCTTGAAGCCTATCCATGGACCCATAAGGGTTAAGAACCTCTGCTCTAACAACTTATAGCATAGGTGGGGAACTTCCAGCCTGAAGTCCTGATTGTGTCCTGGAAGGGGCATGACTAGCTGGCAGGAGCACTTAAGAGGAGCACATCTGGTAGGCAGTAAGGATACATAGCAAGGTTTGGTTGCAGGTCCCACTTATTCCAATATTAGCTTAAGGCTGCAATTCCATGCAGTTCCTGGGAATATGACTTGCTTCTGAGTAAACATATTGTTACACACCACAAGCAGTGCAAGATTCCAGGGGTTCCAGGTGCTTACCTAGCATTGTATTTTCATTGAGAAGATCGAGGCACCGTGGAAGCTAGTGTAATATGCTTTATTAACATACAGTCATTCCTTGGGATGAATACGCTTCAGGTTAAGCATTTTCGGGTTGTGCTCCTGCAGCGACCTGGAAGTAACGGAGCATGTTACTTCTGGGTTTCACCGCTCGCGCAAGCGCACTCAAAATGACGTCATGTGCAAAATGACATCACATGCATGTGCGGAAGTGGCGAAACGCAACCCGTGCACGCACAGTTGCGTATTACGTTTGCTTCAGGATGCGAATGTGGCTCCGGAACGGATCCGTTCTCATCCAGAGGTACCACTGTATATTAATACCTGGAGGTCTGCAATGGAAGGGTGCAGAACATTATGTCCCTCTCATGGCTTCAACAAGCTTGGGTCCACAACAGCAGGCAGCCATGGCTCTGGGTCTCTTAGTGCAGCCCCCCTCCAGCCAGCAGCCAAGATGGTCCTGCCCCACTGCCCAGCAGCTCATGGAGGTCTGCCCTTTTTTCTCTCCTTCCTTCTTCACACCACACCACAAGCCTCCTGTAAAACAATACTTTGTTCCTGTCACCTCACACGAAGTCACCTGAGCAACTTTTGTTTTGCAGACCTGAGCACCTTGTTTCGTAATGGCCTACATTCAACCAGCCCAGCCAAGCTAGTTTGCACAGGTTAAACCTAGGGATTTCCTATGGCGCATTTCGGAAGAACTGCTACAGCCTGCATTTTCCCCTTCAGTGTTATTAGCTAGAGTTTGACATTCATTGATTTATTGGGTTTGGTGGGGTCTCTCTCTCCCTCCCCTCACTTCATAACAATATTTGGGCCCACACTGCATAGGTTATAGTGGATCTTAGGCGTGATCACGGGTCACCCAAGGCATTTTGGCTCCTGAGGCAAAATGCCACGCTGCTGCCCCTGTGATGTGGGTGGGTGGTATCAGGTGGGGTGCCCGTGGGGGGCCACTCCAGTGGGGCTCTGCCACTTGAGGCTGCTGCCTCTCTGTGTGTGTGCCTAATGGGTGGGTTGGCCCTGGCTGTGCCTCTTAAAGCAGCCCAAGCTCAAGTTGCTATTAGAAATACAGGTAAGGGGATGCGTTGAAAAGAAGGGAAGGTTATTTATTAGGGTTGCCACTCTTCTTTCTTAAGACTAAAAAAAACTTTTCATGAGTGAAAAAGACATCACCGATTAATATATATACTCAAATAACCTGATCTCTTGCATAGGCGCAGCATGAGAGCAGGTGCCATGATAGCAATCTCCCTTCTTTCCCACACAATGCGAAACGCCTGCTGTGAGAGGCCGGCGATGCTTTATCTAAAAAGGGGAGTGACCGCCTTAGTTGTCGTTCTTCTTGTTTTTGACAGGGCTCAGAAAAGATGTCCGAAAGGTCAGGAATTCAACAGGCGAAAACTGTGCCCTCGCTGTATCCCTGCGATAGCTGCTGCTGCGCCCATTAAATTTCATCCCGTGACGCCGCTGCGGGTGCCGCTCCTCCTTGCTGCGGCCTCGGGCGATGAGGCCAGGGAAAGCGCGCCAGCCTCAGGGCCCGGCGGCGGCGGCGGCGGCGGCAAAGGTCTTCCTCCTCCGACGCCGGTGGCCGGGCCGCTTTCCCCCTCAAGGTGACCGCGCCGAGTCCTCCCGCGCCGCAGAGGGCGCTGCCTCCCTCCGTGTGACTCGGGGCGTCTCTGGCTCGCAGCTTCTTGCTCGTCATCCGGTGGCCGCGGCACAGACCGACTGGAGCCCCGCGTCTCCTCCTCCTCCGGCCGGGACAAGACGCAGCGGGCGAGGGCAGCCGGGCCTTGGGCCGGGCCCTGACTGAAGCAGCGGGCGGTGGGCAGCGGGGCTCGCGAGCCGCATGAGTGGATGGAGCCGGGCTCTGGGCTGCAGCGGCGGGGGCCGGGGCTCGGCGGCGGGCTGGGCTCGGCCGGCGGCTCCCCTGCGCTCTCGGGGCCTCAGGGCCGCCGCAGGAAGCAGCCGCCGCGCCCGGCCGACTTCAAGCTGCAGGTGATCATCATCGGCTCGCGGGGCGTCGGCAAGACCAGCCTGATGGAGCGCTTCACGGACGACACTTTCTGCGAGGCCTGCAAGTCCACCGTAGGTACGGTGAGGCCCGTCGGCGGGGCCGAGGGGGAGGGCGAGGAGAAGGGGACTTCCAGGGGGAAGCGGGGGCGTCGTGGGGAGGGTGGAGTGGGGCGTTACAAATCTTATTTTAAAAATTAGGGTTGCTCTCTAAGCTTGGGGCTTGGGTTCCTTAACCTACCCCATTTCCTCACCCCGTAGGTTGTGAAGACTCCTCTTAAAACACCCGGGCCGCATCCATAACTTTGCGGTCCGTTTGAAAAACCTGTTTCCTTCGAAACTGCAAGCAGCGCTGTAGTAAGGTTGGGCTAGGAAATATAATGCTGCTATTGTTTGTTCAGGTGAAGCTCTCTCTCTCTCTCTTATCCTTTAGGGATGAAGTGCTCTCTCCTTTCCTCTCAGGGCGGGGAGTGAATAGTCTTTTCCTGCCCATTACTGGTATGACAAAGATAAGCTTGTATTAAAACTACCTCCAGTTAGATTTGCCTGAGAAGGGGTACATTAATTTAGTGTACTTGTGTGTAGAGACTCAGGCACTGGGCACATTCTACTTGCGTTGCTGGTGTAAAGAGCCAGTTATCTTGCTAGAATGCTAAAGTGATGAGGGAGGAAGAAGTATCCCATCATCGGATTAATTTATTGCTAGTGGCTTCTCAGTTTGGGGAGTGCTTAATTATTAGAAAATGTTTATCTGTTTTCACTCAAGACATTGCTGTTTTGTTGATCTGATGTGAGAGTCTTTGTTTATTACCCAGGATCTGTCCCTGACCCAGGGTGATAGGGGAGACTCTTCCCTTTCATTTGAGATGAAAGTAACTCTGATTATACAGTGTTACCTCATCTCTCCAACACCTTCTTAGTGTGGTAAACAAAAGCTAAATATATGACAGTAATAGCAAGATGGTCTCCTTCAGTGGTAACTGCATTGCTATTAGTCCACAAACAATCCTTCAGTTAGTTAGTTCAGCTACTTTTTATGGAAACTCTTGATAGTTATTATTTCACAGAATTGGTCCCAGTATGAACACACCTATAAACTAGTTCAGTGTTTCCCAAAGTGTAGTATCCCCAGGGGCAGCAGTCAGGGATGATGAGAGTGGTAGTCCAACAACATCTAGGAACCCAAGGTTGAGAGAGGCTGCTGTACCCAGTACTGAGCTAGATAGAGAAATGGTCTGACCTTGTATAAGGCAGCTTCCTGGTCTACACTAACAAGCAGTGACTCTCCAGGGTTTCGGACAACAGACATTCCTAGCACTATCTGGATATAGCAGGGATTAAAATTGGGACCTCCTGTGTGAAAAGCAAATGTTTTACTATTGAACTTGAGCTGTTTTCCTTGTGGAACATAAAATGTCTAATATGCTATAGCTGGACATCTAACAGTTACAAAGGAACAACTTAAAAGTAGTTTCTTGGCTGTTAAGATGGCTGGTACAAACTTTATTAAATCTTCTGCAATGCTACTTAAATCCACCTGCATCCTTTATTAAGATTTATTGACCTACAGTGCTACAATGTTGCAGCAGTTAAATCTCCTTGATTAGTGAGGCTATTCATTGTGTGAATGCTTATAGCATGGAAGGGAACTTATGTCCCCTAACTGTTGCTGGACTCCAGCTCCTATCAGTCCCAGCCAGCATAGCCAGCAAGAGCTTCAGGGCCACAAGTTCCCCACCCCTGGTTTATAGGGTTGTCCAGTGCCTTGAGTTCTAAAGAGCCCCTGGTATTCTACTAAACTTATGACATTAATTGGTATTCTCCTTATCATTGTGGTGTAATGTTTTAATAGGGATAAGCAGAGCTTTAAGTTCATTTTCTAGCTCCTGCGTGTCCAAACAAATTAAATGCTAAATAGCTTCAGCTATAAGATACTGTTCTGTGCATATTACATTAATGTTAATGTATGGCACTCTGGTTCTAAAATTCCCTTATGGGAGTTTTCTCTGTTCATGTTGTCAACCAAAGGAATATCTCCATTTAATATAGGATTTGTTTGTAATTTAAACAACATTTAATTGCAATAAGATGTTGTAATTACTGATTACTTACAATTCAGTTCTATGTATGTTTACTCCTTAGTAAGCCCTATTAGGTTCAATGGGAGTAATTTCTAGGTGAATACAGGATTGCAGTCTTAGTTACATATAATAGTAACTTACTAGCCACAACATGTGTGCTAATTTTAGAAACTGGAAGCAAGGATTGCAGAAGTCAGTGCACAGTGACTGATAATCACAGAACAGGACATGGGACTTCTGGTTTGGGCTGTTAACCCAATTGTTTCTTAAAGTAGAAATGTGTAATAATCTGGAGTACAGCAATCACTCATATCGTCTGTGCTCCTTGCTGGATCATATGAAGCCAGAAGTTTCAGGTATAAACCATGTTTCTGTAAATTTCTTATCGGATACATGTACATGGGTGTGTATTGTGGGATAAACCAGTGTAGGTGTTCTCCAAAGCAGCCATACCATGTAGAGAATTTAGAAAACATAATGATTTTACAGAAACTCTGAAAGTACAACATATACTTAAAAACAGGGATAACTACCACTATATCTTAATTTTACGACATTTCTGAGTCACCTTACCACAACACTCAAAATGGCTTATAGACAAAAAATACACTTGTTCTGCTGGCTTTATTCCATTTCAATCAACTAAAAATAGCAAGTGGCTCACAAAAAAGCTAGCCAAACATTTATCTGAAACAAAAAGATCTTATAAAGAAGAGCGCCTCCTAACATCTTCAGGTGAAGCATCCCCTCTTCCTTGAAGTTCTGGGTGAGGTCAAAGACTATGCAGCAATTTTAATAACTAAGAAATTAGCTGTTTACCAAGTCAGAACCCAGGGCCACACTGACTCTTGACAATTATTTCTGATAAGGGTTCATGTTCAGAATCTAGGTTGTATAGAAAAGAAACATACAATTGTTTCTGAATAAGCAGGCAACCAATTCTTTAAGGCACCTTGCTTTAAGTGTATTATATACATATTGCACCATGGAAAGGGCTGAACAGCCTTTATTCAAAATGGAGCCATCTGTGAGATTTAATAAAATGAAAAATGAACTAATGTGTAGAGCTAAGTTTAGTAGATGAGTGTTCCTTTGGTAATGAGAGAGATCAGCTGTCAAGCTGTAAACAGCTGAAATAGGATTGGAAGAATCAAAACAAGTAGGCGTTTTTGATGTCATTTTAAGATTGAAACTTTACTTCTGACTCTGGACTATAACCTTTTGCTCTGTGTTATATTTGAGATTGTGAGTGTGTTTGAGTTGTGAAGAATATAAGAGAGAAAATTAAAAAGAGGATTTGAAGGGTTTTTTTCAGGCTGCAGGAAAAATATTTCTAAGTCTCTAATTACACTGAAGTTAAATTTATGTGATAGATTTTATTCTAGTGTATATCGAAAAGCACTGAATTCTCTGAACCCATCAATAGTGGCATATATTTGAGTTGCTTAGCTGTACTGCAATATTATGAAACATAGGACAATCCGGAAGAAAATTGTATCCAGTTGCAAAGTGACGGGACCAAACTTACCCTCTTTTCTCTCTCCTTTCCCTACCACTTCCCAATTGAGTAGCTTGGGACATAAAATTTAATGAATTCCCCCCCCCAATGATATCAGTTTTAAATAACCTAATTTTCAAATGTAGTTTCTAAAATAAAAATGTTATGCAGGAGTAAATTTATTGTTTATTTATTAAATTTTATACCACCCTTCATCTGAGGGTCACATGGTGGTTTACAGTATAAAAACAGAAAAGTCATTGTGCTACGTGCAATGAAATGTGTATAATGGAAGCTGATATACCTATATACATACATCACCAATTTCAGTGGCGTAGCAACCCCCTCCTGACGACCGGGGCAGAACTTTTTTAAATATTCCTTTAAGTAGAGGTTGGACAAGTTAAACTTCTCTAGCTATATCCCCACACTAGATAACAAGGCTGAAGCAAACAGAACTATTAAGATGCAATAACTGATGGGGATCCTTTTTTAAAAAAATAGAACTTCTGGTGGTTCCTAGAAAATAATTGAGTAATTAAAAAACAACAACCAACCTTTCCCCTTGTTGAAAATATTTTTGGTGGTAGCATGTGGAGTGCTTATAAGAAATATCTGTTCTTTGTCTCCCCCTTGCATCTTTAAGTGGTACAAGTCCACCTTCTTACGTTGCTTAAATATGAACAGGTACTAAATTAAACTAAATCATACCTGTGTTGCTTTTACTGCTTATTCCTCCTTTTTTGTTTACTGTATTTTATTTATAGGTGTTGATTTTAAAATCAAAACAGTAGAGCTAAGAGGAAAGAAAATTAGATTACAAATCTGGTAAGTAAAAATAACAACCAAAACCAGGAGAATGTTTTAAAGTTTTGTGTTCTAGCATGGTTTTAATATGCTTGTCTAATATGATTAACTGTTATAAGACGACTTAGCTTTAATATACCTACTGCTCCTTTCCCTTTCCCTCACAGAGCTATAGCAATAGGTATCAAATTCATAAGTTAATGTTTTTGGGGTGGAATCAAGTGATGTACCCTACAACTTTTATTTAAGCATTTTTATGTTGTTCAGTTGATAAGGCTCCCAGAGCAGCTTATATAAGGTCAATGAGAGGAAGACAGTCTATTTTAATATTTTCAGTATGCATTTCTAACAAGAATCACCAGTGCGTTTTTGGCTGTTTCATTAAATAATTTCCTATACTTTTTATTAGCTTCACATACACCAGATTTTTGTCTTTCAGCATGTCAAATCATTATACAATCTTAAAATTGGCATGTTACTTTAAAAGTGCTTAGGGCTGGGGAAGTCCAGGACATTTGGAGATCGTGGTGCTTAAATATTTGATCCAGACATCACCAAAATTGAAATGAGGAAAATTAGGCTTTCTCTAAAGACCATTAGTGATACTAATGAAAAATATATGTATGAAAACAGGGTTATATATTGCTTTAAGATCCAGTGAATGAGGGATAATTGTTCAGAAGTAGTTTCTGTGCTATAAAAGTATACATAGTAGTGTGGTGCAAATTGCTGTTGTGATAAAATAAACCACCTATGCTTAACAGTCCTAATCCTGTAAGATAGCTAATGGCTTTATCCTAGTGTATTAATAATACTTCATGCGTTAGAGATAACTTACTAGATTTGCTAATAACTTGTAGTAGAAAAAATAGACTGTGGCTGTTCAGATGGCAACACTGATCTAATCTGATAGTATTTAACTCTTGCATAGATGCAGTGAATTCAGTTTACTAACTCCTCTTGGCAGGTCACCATCAGCTCTGTTTGTCGCACCATGTGTTTGTCTTGCTTCCATCTGAGTTATTTGCTGTTGCATCTTTCGTATCATCTGTTACCTAATACTTGAAAGTTACTGGCATGACTTCATTCCTCATCTGTGTCCCCATCTGGAATCCTATGGCCACAGAATGGTACTTGAGCCAGCATGATGTTTAGCCAGGGCCTACTGAAGCCGATACGAGGTAATGTAGTATTTCAATGTGCCAATATCTTTGGGTGTGAAAATAATCATTACTGCAACCTCCTTAAATTCAGTGTTTTTTTTAAAAAAATAAAAATCCTGAAAAGACACCTGAAATTCTGCCCTAAGTAAAATAAGATCATCCTATTTATTTCAATGAGTGTTCGTCACATGTAACTATATACTTAGATGCCTAACAGGAGCCAGTTGTTCTGACATTGATTATTCTCCATAAATTGAGATTAATTTAAAAAAAAAAACTGTCAAAAGGATGTTACTTAACAGATTATCACTCCATGGAGATTGTGATGCATCAAAGATTTCCTACGTTTTAAGTAAGCAAAAATACTTATTAAAGACGTTATTCCTACCAAGGAGTACTTTGTGCACTCTTATGCACACAGAGCTTTTGCACAGTATATTTGTTGAAGAAAGCAAATGAACACAGGTTGAATGTCTGTGCAATGGTCTGCTGCGTCCAGTGGAATGAATGGGGAAACTCTTAGAGTCAGAGTGTTTCACACCTATATAAATATATTGGATTGGTTATTTGTAAGATTTTTTGAGTCAAGATAAATCTAGAGTTCAATTTCTGATGAAAGGTTAAAGGAGTTGGGCATGTTTAGCCCAAAGAAGAGATTGCTAAGAAGTGACATGTTAGCCTTCTTCAAATATTTGAAGAGCTGTTACATAGATGATGGAGAAGAATTATTTTCTGTTGCTCCAGGGAGAAGGACCCTAGGACTTGAACCAGTTAGTTCAGATTAGGAGAAATGGATTTTTTTTCAAATATTAGGAAGTACTTACTGACAATACAAACAGTTTGACAGTGAAACAGGCTGCCTTGGAAGATAGCAAACTCTGCTTTGTTAGACTTCTTCAACAGAGACTAAATACCCACGTTTCTGGGGTGCTATGGTAGTGAATTTCCTGCATAAGTAGGGGAATGACTTTTGAAATCCCTTTTAGATGTAAAATTCCTATAAATTACATTATTGACAATTAAAATGTTGCTTTATTGGCTACTATACAAATGTAGCAGAACGTTTATTCATTTTACTCTAATTTTAATTTTTGTTTGATCTCAGCATCTTTCACCAACAAACATTTGCCACTATAATAATCTCATTATCTTACCCCCCCCCCCCCGAAAAAAACCCCAGGGAGTCATTGACCTATTTTAAATTAGTTGTTAGCATTGCCTAGCTTTTCTAAGAACTTAAATCAGCTGTTGGGATCATGCAGAAGCTTTAAAAGAATCCATGCTGCCATGCTTATGTTCTCGTTGCTATAAAAACAAACATGGCACTTCTACATCTTGAATATGTCTCAAATTGTTTCAGTTTTGATTATCTAATTGAACACTACTTGGAAAAAATGAACTTGTATTTTTCTCTTCAGCATTTGGGAAATTCACAAATTTTGAATATAAGGGCCACTTCAAAGATGACCTTTTCCCATGTCATTGGAACTTATATAGGAAATGTTGTGGAAAGTATATGTAGTATGAATTGTTGTGTGCAAGTTTGCTTTTGTGCATGCATTATCCATGTAGGAAAATAATCCATTTGAAGTGGCCCTGTGTCTATAGCTGGATGTCTAAAGTTTGGTGTTTCCTTTCCTGTTTCCCTTTGTCACAAAATACTGATGCCACAAAGTCTAGAGTTAAAGTGTGTGTTCAAGTGTTTTCATTTACATTTTAAGCATGCCCACATATTTTTAAAGCTTTTTGTGAGATATTCATTTCCCATGTCATTCCTTCAGGGTATATCTAGGAGTTAGATGTTCTCTGCTAAGTGTACATCAAAACAATGTGTCATTTACATTGGGAATGGTAGTGTTGGCATGCATGTTTCCCATATTGACATCCTACAGTCATGTTTTTCCTTCAGTTTGAAGTGCTCAAGTGGAGTTCAGTGATTATTCCTTTTTGTACATGCAAATTGTAAAATATATATGAAAGTTTTAAGTGAAAAAATATTTCCAAAGATAAGTCTAAAATAAGAATGGTTGCCTTCTGAAAAGGTGCTCTTGAAGTTGCACAATCCTCCAGAACAGGGCTCAGTGTATACAAAGAATGAATAATCTCCATACTTAGGAACTGAACTTAAGGGTTGGTTTGCTTTGTCACCTTGTTAGAAGGTTGGGTCTTGAGGAGAAGACTTAGTTGCATATAACAATCTCCTTCTTTCCATGTTCCTTATTGTGATGTGGACTAGAAAAGTGTTACCGTGCAATTTTTAAACTCGCTGTGTTTGCAAGCTGAAGTGATACTTGGCATACAATACAAGCAAAGTGTCCATGAAACTTTACTGGTAGCCCAATGGCCACACTAGATAAAACAATAAACATGTGAATGCATTTAACAAGTCTATTTTTAAACTTAGGGTCGTGGGTTCAAGCGTCATGTTGGGCAAAGATTCCTGCATTGCCAGAAATTTATTGCGAGGAATCTATTATTCTGCTGACAGGGTTCATTAGGTGAATCCTGCCCACAGTGTTGCTGAGCTTTGGTCATAAGGAGATATATTTGGCACAAGGGGGAAGCCTTCAGCACTTTGAACCCCTCTTAGAATGTGGAGAATAAATCAATTGTTATAGGCATGTCATGCCCATCTTGAAAGTTTTCTGAAGCTACAGTAGCAAAATTATTTTCCAGATATGCTGGGAAGAAGGAACCAAGGAAAGGCAGTGTTAAGTGTGGAAGCCGTACCAACCCTGGCTTATCTCATTTCATCACTCTGGCCCCACTTGGCCTTTCTATTTTATTTTTTATGTTACGTCCAGGTATAAGAGCCCATCTATATATTATCTATCACCTGTAGGATCCCTGCCACAGAAATCTAAGATACAGAAACTGATATTAAGTGGTGTATAAACTATTAAAACAAATTCATAAAAAATAGTCTGCTTTCCTTATCCGTTTTATAGCCAAATAATTCCTTTAGTCATATTTTACATACCTCTATACACACACACACACACACACACACACACACACACACACAGAGCTGGGTTTAGGCATGGGATGAACAGACCAACAGACATATTTAAAGAGCAAACATATATATATTAATTTATTTTTTTCATAATATAATAGGATTATTTGCCGCTTTAATATAAAATAGAGCTTTTATGTGCTTTGAAATGCTTATCAACTTGTCTTAATTATCTTACTTAATCTAAATAAATATGCAGTTGCCTTTAATGTTCACCTAAAGTCTTCCATCTGGTCAAGAATCTCTTTACCCCCCAGATACCTCATAGGCTTCACTGAGGACTTGGGCCAGGGCCAGGGCCTTGCTACTTTTAGGCAGCCTCTGCTAATGGACAGTGTGGCTTCAGCTCCTCTGGAGGAGTGATGCTGGAGTATGTCTCTTTTCCCTAAGACCTTCTCAGCTTTAGCCTTCAGCTCTGTGTCTTGGTTTCTTCTTAAATGGCCATGTGATGCCATAAGGATCTCCCAAGTTTCAGCACAGCTCTGGCTGCTTCCTCTGGCAGGGCAGATATTGCTCAGCACCATCGTCTCTTCATACTTGCTTTCAACCTCTTCTGAGTCTCTTCCTCAGTCCCTCTCAAAACAGTGCTGTGCTTGCCCTTCCATTCTGTTCTGTCAGAAACTGCTAATCAGTTACAAGGCTCTCTCTCTGCATCACATTGAACCAGTGCGTTCAATTGGAATATCTTCTAAATGACCTACCACAGCTTGACTTTCTAAATTTTAATGACCCTTATAAAAGCTGAGTTCTGCTAGTTGTCATGACAGAAAACATCACAAGACACATCATCACCTCTTTAGTACCAGCCTAGCTATTTCTTGGCAAGCTGCCATCTGAGATACACGCCCGCCCGCCCCAAAATCTCCTGAGCTCCAGTTAGAAGTTGCCAGCTTTTTCTCCTCATTCTGTTTGCTTACAAGCTGAACAGTTTTTTAACAGAACATTCTTATATTTAAAATTCTCCAAACTACGTTAATTTATTCTCGCTGTACCTCTGAGCCCTTTGTACTCAAAGCTACATCACATTGACCCTCTCCATGTCAGTTCATTCCAGTCATTCTCTGGTTCTGAGTGTGACAGAAATGGAAATGTTGTTGCATGAAAAAAATGAAGAACTGGATGTTAAATATAAGCTTTTGCTAAGAAAGAATAGTATTTGCTTTTTGCCTAGTGCAGTTTTTTTTTCAGTTTGTGACCATCAGGTACTCTTAGAACTTCAAAGAATCAGAAAACATACTTCAGAATGCAGAAAGGAAACTTGTCACACGTAGGGCTGGAGATTGAATATGCAATTATCCCAAGTGCATTTTTTCTGAGGTTAGCAAGATTGGGTCTGTAAATCATTTAGATTATACTTTACATGTGAGAAACCATGGACTCCATACAGTCATTGTTCTGTTAATACTGACAAACTTGAAAGAAGATGCAGGGTTTCTTTCTTTTAAATGGCATAATTGCATTTGTTTAAATAAAGAACTTTAGGAGCAACTTTAATTCTGCCCTCTTAGTGGCAGTGACTAGGATTGCACGTCATGTTAAACCAAACCATGCTTAGTGTGAATGTGTGCCATCTGCCAGAGAGGAGATCCCAGCTGCTTTGCTCCTTCCTGATTGTTTTGCTTTTGTACTGAGCCAGTTTGGCTTAGCGTGTTATCCAAATCCAGGCTCATGGTTTGGCTCTCTCAGACAAGCTACCAGCCATAAACCATAAGACAAATCTTGGTTACAGCTTGGGGTTAGTCTGGAGAGATCTAAGCAATGAGTCTGGATTTGGGCAACATGCTAAGCTAATCTATGCAGCAGAACAACTGGGGGTCTCTTCTCTAGGAGCCTGCTCATTTATGTTAAACCATGGTTTGTCTTCGTGTGACATGCAAACCAGACCAATGCCGCTGCGGTAGACTTATCATTAACTTGTACTTTGTAGCAGACAGAAGGGCCATGGAGTCTTTTTCAGCTAGCTGCTTCTGACAAACTTAAAATTGTGTGGTGAACAGAAAGGCAGTTATTATTTCTTTCTCTGCATGTTGTTGATAATCAAAATTTTCTGTTCCCTAGGCAGTCTGTTGTACTACTTTTATATAAATAAACTTTTAGAAGCTCATCCCTAATAATAATAATGCAAACATTTCAAAAATTTTGAGCAGTGTTTGAATTATAAACCCATGAACCCAGTGAGACTTAATTGTGAAAAAATGTTTGGGGTTGAGGTACAGTGGAACAGAAACATTTATTAGAATCATAGAATCTTAGAGTTGGAAGGGAGACAAGGGTCATCTGGTCCAACCCCCTGCAATGCAGAAATCTCAGCTAAAGAGGTGGCCATCCAACCTCTGCTTAAATACTTCCAAGGAAGGAGAGTCCACCACCTCATGTGGGAGTCCATTCCACTGTTGAACAGCTCTTACTGTTAGAAAGTTTGTTCCAAATGTTTAGTCAGCATCTTCTTTCTTGTAACTTGAAGCCATTGACTCAAGTCCTACTTTCAAGAGCAGGAGAAAACAAGCATGCTCCCTCTTCCATGTGGCAGCTCTTAAGATATTTGAAGATGGCTATCATATCTCCTCTTCTCCAGGCTAAACATACCCAGCTCCTTCAAGCGATCCTCATAAGGCTTAGTTTCCAGACTCTTTGCTGCCTTCCTCTGCAGATGTTCTAGCTTGTCAACAACCTTCTTAAATTCAATGCATCTTTCTTCTTAATCATTGGTCTTATGAGCAAATGCAGCTGGTATGGTTGCTTCACTACCTTATACTGCCAAATGAAGGGATGTGGAAGTGATGTCACACTGGCTAATTTGCCCAGCTGGGAGCACCCTTTCTTTCTCCCCTCTCAGATGAGACAACTTGCCCCAACCATCAGAACTAAGAGAGTTTTACTCATCTTATGTTCCTGTAATGTTTAATCTCTTTTAACACAGCAATGTGTTTTATAAATAATGATTTAGGATCACATACTGTTGAAATTACTATGTTGTATGTGACTTGTCTGGCAGGCTCACAGTAAGTGTGGCTGTAGGATGTTGGGGTCTTGTCTTGGAAACTTAGTTTTGCCATACAGTGGTACCTCGGGTTAAGTACTTAATTCGTTCTGGAGGTCCGTTCTTAACCTGAAACTGTTCTTAACCTGAAGCACCACTTTAGCTAATGGGGCCTCCTGCTGCCGCCACGCCACCAGAGCACAATTTCTGTTCTCATCCTGAAGCAAAGTTCTTAACCCGAGGTACTATTTATGGGTTAGTGGAGTCTGTAACCTGAAACATATGTAACCTGAAGCGTATGTAACCCAAGGTACCACTGTATATTTATGAGCAGTCTTGACAGACATCATAGATATATCCATGTGCATTGGGTTTAGTTTTTAAGGCAAACAGTAAATGGCAGTAAATGACTTGATCCCATCCCAGTGATCATTACATTGTCCACATTCATGCATCATAGTAAACCATAGTTAATGGCTTACCATGAACACACAGGTAGCTCCCACTTTGCTCCTTCTCTAACACAAGTAGGAACAACAAACCAGAATCTATGGCTTAGCTTTCTGTCCAACATATGGATTGTGGTTTGTTGCACTCCATACAAGCCATGATGTTTAGCCAAGGTTTGTTCTTGTCTTATCAATCACAGTTTGTTTAAGCAAAGCAAGCCATGATCCTCTGTTTGGGGAATCACTAAGTATGGTTTACTTTGACATGTGAACAGAGCCATTGCATGCATAAATTATTTCACCCTTACAGTTGAATATACTTGCTAAAACTGTATGTGGTAAAAGTGGAAGTGCTGATAACTCTTTGCATGTTTCATTTGGAGTTCTTTAATCCTACCAAGAGCTATTTTTCTTCCTTGTGAGTTCATCTACTTTTCTTAGACAAAACCTCATAAAACTGGTGGTGGTTCTTATTTGTTTGGTGGAGTAAGATACAGATTCAGTATATGGACTTCCTTATTTGCAATGTCGGAGTTTGTAATTGCAGTTTGTGAAGTTATAAAATTGTTATACCAATATTTGCTCCTACTGCTTCTCAGGGACACAGCAGGTCAGGAAAGATTCAACAGCATTACCTCAGCTTATTACAGAAGTGCCAAGGGTATTATATTGGTGTATGATATCACGAAGAAGGAGACATTTGATGATTTGCCAAAATGGATGAAAATGATTGACAAGGTAAGCTTCAATCTCTCAAAATAAGCAGTAGTGGTTTTGAAACTTACAGTAATAAAGTCAAATTGCATGGTGGCCAGTACACTCCAAAGAATTCATTATAGTAGATTTATGGCCACTTTTCTAAACTCATGAGTGTTGGTTAATTGCAGTGTGGAGGCAGCTTTGTGGTCTCTTATTCATTGCATCACCACATAGCTCATCAAGCCACCTCTGTGTTTCTGTGTGCTTTAGATCTAGACCTAAACACCAACTGGTAGCACAAAACTGAAAATGTTAGCTGTGGGTGTGAGAGAGGGGGTGGCGTCTTGAACAAGGGTTACCACTAAATCAGCAGCTGTCTTTTCTGCCTAATAATATATGAGAATTGAAACAAAAATGTTTGCCTCAACTGTGCATTTGCCGTATAGGATACTATATACACCTTTATAACCTGGCCTTTTGACACTTGAGGTTTATATTTTTAGCACCCACCCTATTGTTGTGACTAAATTGTTGTCAACTGTGTTTTATTTTATTTTAAATTGCTGTGACTGACCCTGAGACTTTATGGTGAATCCTGCCAAATTTTTGAGTTGAAATTGCTGTATTCAGAGAGTGGATGAAGGACTAAAGAAATCAAAACAGGAAATAAAAGAGATGAAGCGGGAAGAGGAGAAGATGAAAAATGAGATCGCGGACCTAAATAGAACACAGGAAGAACTGAAAGACTCTATTGCAATGAATGAATTAAAACAGAAAGAAGTGAATCTGAGACTGAGACAAGTACCAGAAATACAAAATGAGAACATAAAGGTAAGACTGATAAAAGAATTTGCACGGTGGATGGAAATGTCGGAGGTAGAAATTGCGAAGACAATACAAAACGCATTCAGAATGAAAAGCAAAACAAATAAGCTAAAGAAATTCCCAGGCGATTGTGTGGTAACATTTAAGGATAGAGAAATGAGGAATCTGATTTTGCATAGGAATAGAGAGAAGAGACTTTATATCGACGGGAATTACATAATCATATTTAAAGACATCCCAATAAGGCTACTGAAACGAAGAGAGGCCTACAAACCACTGGTGCAACTATTGAAGAAAAATAGGATCGACTTCAGATGGGAATTCCCGGAAGGAGTCTCCTTCTTTTACAAAGGAGTGAAGAGAAGATTAACAAGCCCCGAGGAAGTCGGGAAATTTACAAGAAGGTATAAGGAATTACAACAAGAAGAGGAAGAGATCAAAGGAGCAGAAGGAGGAGTAAGGACGAGGGAAGACTCAGAAGCAGAAGTAGAAGAAGAACAGACCGGGAGAGACTCTGTAGAGGAGGAAGAAGAAGGAGAAGGGACAGAAGGTTTTTAGAAAACTTCAAGCAAAGAAAGGTCTAAATAGGGACAAAAGGAATGACGCTAAAACTATGGAACTGGAATATTAATGGAATGAACGATAAAAAGAAACGGAATGGAATCGAACATATCTTAAAAAAGGAAAATTTGGACATCATATGCCTTCAAGAAACGCATGTAGCTAAAAAACATAGGAAGATCCTGATTAACAAAAGGTTAGGGAGTGAATTTATATCTTCAGATAAAGAGAAAAAAAGGGGTGTTGTCTTATATATCAAAAATAAAATTGAAAGTCACCAACTATTTAAGGACGAAGAAGGGAGAATTATTGCGGTTCAAATTAACTGGCAAGGGGAGAGTATGATAGTGGTTGGGATATACGCACCAAATGGAAATAAGACAGAATTTTTTAGTATGTTAGAAGAGAAGTTATTTGAATATATGGATCAGAAAATTATAATAATGGGAGATCTGAATGGTGTGGTCTCAACAGAAATGGATAGATTAAGGGAAACCAAGACCAAAGAAGGGAAACTACCTAAAACGTTCTTTACGATGACAAAGAATCTCAACCTGGTAGATATCTGGAGGTTGAGACACCCTTTGGAGAAGCAGTTTACTTATCATTCTGAACCAAACCAATCGTTTTCTAGAATAGACCAAATATGGGTCTCGAATGAACTAACCCCGAGAATCCATAAAATAGAAATACAGGCGAAGGTGATTTCAGACCACAACCCAATAAGAATGGAGCTAAAAGGCTTTGAGGAGCGTTCCTTTAGGTGGAAGTTAAATGATAATTTATGGGATGACCAAAATTTGTGGAGAAAATACAAAAAAAATTTAACTGAATTCTTTATGAACAATATGGATAAAGGGACGAAACTGAGTGTGGTGTGGGATACAAGCAAGGCAGTGATAAGGGGCCTCTTGATTCAACAGAATGCTAGGAAAAAATAACAAAGAGAAATGGTCAAAGAGATTCTCAGACAGATTATGGACTGCGAACAAAAATTGACTAGGAAACCAAATAATGAGAAGATAAAGCAGGAAATAAAGATTCTTCAAACCCAGTTTGCGATGATGATAAATAAGGAGGTTGAATGGAATATCAAAAGACTAAGGCAAAAAAACTTTGAGTATGCTAATAAATCAGGAAAGTGGCTCGCCTGGCAGGTTAAGAAAAGAAAGGAAACAAACACAATAAGTAAAATAGAGGTAAATGGGGAGGTGACTACAGAACCGAAGGAAATCAGGAGAGCTTTTGTGGATTTTTATAAGCAACTGTATAAGAATAAGGAGAGGAATAATAAGAAGAAAATAGAAAGATATTTGAAAGAAAAAGTAGTGAGGAAGATCTCACTAGCTCAAAAAGAACAGTTGGATGCCCCAATATCTAAAGAGGAGGTAGAAGAAGTCATAAAAGAGTTAAAAAGAGGGAAGGCACCGGGGCCGGATGGGTTCACTGCCAGTTATTATAAAGAAATGAAAGGCATACTGATAGACCCGCTGACTAAAGTTATGAACAACATTTTAAAAGAGAAGGACATGCCAGGAACATGGAGGGAGGCTTTCATTGCAGTGATACCGAAACAAGATTCGGACCTTATACAAGTTAAAAACTATAGGCCTATCTCTTTATTAAACACGGATTACAAGATTTTCGCGGGAATATTAGCTAAGAGATTAAAAAGATATTGATAAAGATTATACACAGAGACCAAGAGGGATTTCTGCCGGGCAGACAGATAAGAAACAATATAAGAAATATAGTTAATGTCATTGAATTTCTGTCCGAAAGATATGATAAACCAGCCAGCTTAATATTCGTAGACGCGGAAAAAGCTTTTGATAATGTAATCTGGGAATTTATGATAAAAAATCTGGAGGTTATGGAGGTGGGCCAGGAATTCCTCAACGGTATCCAAGCAATTTATACAGATCAGAAGGCAAGACTGATAGTGAATAATGTCATCACGGAGGAACTGAAAATAGGTAAAGGCACAAGGCAGGGATGCCCACTCTCGCCATTACTATTCATAATGGTCCTGGAAGTCCTTCTAAATGCAATTAGACAAAACAAACAAATTAAAGGGGTGACACTAGGGGTAAATGAATATAAAATTAAGGCATATGCAGATGATGTGGTCCTGACTGTGGAGGAACCTATAGACAGTATAAAGGAAATCTTAAACGAAATGGAACAATTTGGCAAGCTAGCAGGTTTCAGATTGAATAAGAGAAAGACAAAAATGATAGTTAAGAATATGGATAGAGACAAGATGGAACTTTTACAGCAAAGAACTGAGATTGAGATAGTAAAGAAGATTAAGTATTTAGGAATCTGGCTTTCCGATAAGAATATAGACTTATATCAATATAACTATGTCCCTGTATGGAAAGGTGTAAAAAGAGATTTGGAGTCCTGGGCCAGATTGAAATTATCACTCTGGGGTAGAATAGAGACAGTAAAGATGATGGTGCTCCCCAAACTGCTATACTTATTTCAAACGATACCCATAATAAAAGGTATAAAAATTTTCAAGGAGTGGCAAAAGGCGATCACAAGATATATTTGGGAAGGGAAGAAGCCTAGAATTAAATTTAAATTTTTGACAGATATCAAAGAAAGAGGTGGCTTCTCTCTACCAGACATGAGAATCTATTACGAGGCAGCATGTTTGTGCTGGATAAAAGAATGGGTCAAATTGGAGAATAAGGAATTATTAGATCTTGAAGGTGTTAATAACAGATACGGGTGGCACGCTTACCTATGGAGTGATAAAAAGAAGGTACACAAAGGATTCACAAATCATATTTTCAGAGGTGCGTTAATAGAGGTTTGGGATAGGTACAAAAATATATTAGAGCCTAAAATTGCACATTGGCTTTCCCCGCTAGAAATGAAATGTATTAAAACAATTAACATGAGGGGGAAGTGGGGAAACTATGGAGAATTGGTCTTTAAAGAAGGGGGAAAGTGGAAAATAAAACCTTATGAACAAATTAAGGCATTAACGTACGACTGGCTAAACTACTTCCAGATAAACGAAATGTTTAAAAAAGAGCTGAAGGAAAGGAGCTATGAAGAAAAAGAATCAACTTTTCAAAAGGAGATAATAAATAATGAATATAAAAATTTATCAAAAATGTACAAAATACTGTTGGAGTGGCATATGAAAGATGTAGAGATGAAACCGGTGATGGAAAAATGGACTAAGGACTTAGGATATAATATTAAATTAGAAGAATGGGAAAGGCTGTGGAAAGAGAACATTAAATTTACTGCGTGCACGTTACTGAAGGAAAACGTGATCAAAATGTTCTATAGATGGTACCTGTCTCCTACTAAACTGGCAAAGATGTACAAGGTGGATAACAAATGCTGGAAGTGTAAATCGAAAGAAGGGACCTTCTTCCACCAGTGGTGGGAATGTGGTAAGGTCAGAAGTTTTTGGGAGGAGGTATATAACGAGCTGAAAAAGATGTTGAAGTATACCTTCGTGAAAAAACCTGAAGCATTCCTATTAGGTATCACAGGGAAGGATGTTAGGAGAAAGGATCAGAAACTCTTCCAGTATGCGGTGACAGCTGCCAGAATCGTGTTAGCTCAGAAATGGAAGTTGGAGGAAACCCCGACGGTAGAGGAGTGGAGAACAAAATTGATAGAATACGCTGAGTTGGATAGATTAACAGGGAAAATTAGATACACTAAAGATCAAAAATTTATTAAAGACTGGGAGAAATTCGTGTGTTATCTGGAAAGCAACTATGGGGTAAAAATAACGCTAGCGGGATTTAAAGAGGCTTTGTAATTAAATATTAAATATTGTCCAACAGAGATTGGGAGGTAGGGAAGAATAATCGGCAATATGTAAAAAAGAAAGGAGTGCGTACCAAAAGGACAGCAACGAGGGATTGTCAGTAACGCTGAAGGAAGTCTAAAAGGGATATGAGTGGTGATATAACGATGTGTTTTAGAAGCTTTGTTTTTGTCTGTATGTTGTATTGTGCATATTATATATATATATATTTTCTTCTTTTCTTTGTCTTTTCTTTTTTCTATTCTTTGTTCTGTTATAAGAAACTTTAATAAAAATTTAATAATAAAAAAAAAAGAAATTGCTGTATTCAGATACTAGAAACAATGTAAACCATTATGGTCACAGTGCAACATAAGGATTATATTCATTTCTATCATTATTCAGCAGTAATGCAGTGTTTGTTACAGGAGGTTGCACAGTCCAACAGCTCTCAAATAATCAAGAAGTTACTAAATTGTACTGGTAGAGTGAAGCCTAAGCTAAGGGGGAAATGATCAAGACTGCCTTAACAAGTAGCTTAACAGCCTAGAACTGTTATGAATGTATTGACTGAAGAACTTCATTTTGACAAATGTGAAATTTAAAATCAAAAGGCCTAAGCTAGTGGAAACATGCCATTTTATGCTTTGGTGTTTCTTCTTTCCACCCCCACCCCCAAGTATGCCTCAGAAGATGCTGAGCTACTACTGGTTGGAAATAAGTTAGACTGTGAAGTGGACAGAGAGATCAGTCGGCAACAGGGAGAAAAAGTAGGTGAAGGTGAAACAAAATTAACACACATTGATGAAAATAGAAAATTGCTTCTGTGGAAGTGTGAACGGTGCAGAACCTTAACATTACATACATTTTGATCTTAATTTTAATGTTGGGTAACTTCATGCATTGGAACTGTTTTACTATAATCTTAATTCATTTTCTTTAAAAGTTCAGAAGCACCACCACCTCTCCTGACTTTTTGGGGATTGCAGTGAGGAGGAAAGCATGGGAAAAATGCCTTCTGTTAACTTCTTTATCTTTAAACTGGCTTATCTTCCTATTTATCATAAGATCCAAGTCAGAATATTTAAATTAATTCTCAAACTTATTTTGCATTTGTTCATTGTTGTTTAATTTCATCCTAATGTACTAGTAAATAAACTGGATCATTTAAATTATTATGGAACTAAATATACCGTATTTTTCGCTCTATAACACGCACCCGACCATAACACGCACATAGTTTTTAGAGGAGGAAAATCCGTAGGCATGCCACCCATAGGCATTTCCTCCATAACACGCACAGACATTTCCCCTTACTTTTTAGGAGGAAAAAAGTGAGTGTTATGGTGCAAAAAAATACGGTACTTTTGATCAAATGAAATTTCCTTGAGCCAGACTAAAAAGTCATTTCTTAATTTTTCCCATCAGTTTGCACAGCAGATAACTGGGATGCGGTTTTGTGAAGCTAGTGCCAAGGATAATTTTAATGTGGATGAAATATTTCTGAAACTGGTTGATGACATTCTAAAAAAGGTAAAATGCTTCCATACTGTAAGTTAATGGGACTTAAAATGTTGACTGTTTAAAGTACTGTGTTAATGTTTCTTTGAATAAATTATATTTCTAGAATGCACCTTTTGGGCTATTTGCCACAACCAGTTTTTCAGCAGAATACTTTGCATTGCTTTCATACGTATGGTACTTAATACTCCTTTAAATGGGAATTGGTATCAGTGTAACAGCTCCAGTAATTCTTCTTGCTTCAATGAGGGAATGAGGTTGTATAGTTTGATTTTAGCTTGATGGGCTGTTTTGTTTTGTTGCTGTGAGGCCAGGAGTAAAGGACAGAATTTCATGCTACTGACCAATAAGCTCACCAAAATGTAGCAGGCACAATCCAGATAAAATCTGATGCTTTTAAGTTCCATCAGTAATGATAGTTTGTTAATAGGAAAAGTTGAAACTTGATTTAGCAGAGCTATATGTGTTAAAAATGAATGATGGAGCTTTATGGGTATTATTTGCCCTATTAAAGTAATTAACGATGAATATTATGCCAGGATCTGAATTTAGGTCACCTAATTCAGATTAGGTGGCAATGCTTATATGTCTAGGCTATACCATTGGACTGTGTTAGACTCTATAGCATTCTGTGCAGGACATTGCTTACAACAGGATTTTTCCCCATTTTAAGATGCCTTTGGATATTATAAGAAACGAATTGTCCAACAGTATCCTGTCCCTACAACCAGAGCCAGAAATTCCACCAGAACTGCCGCCTCCAAGACCTCATGTCCGTTGTTGCTGACCGGCTGCTTCATCCAGTGTTCAAATGATAAGTGGGAGGAGGGAAAGTGGGGGGGGGGGCAGGAAGCACCTGTCTGACTCTGCACTTACAATCATGTGGCAGTTCCTTGTTGCACTTTGATTCAGAGTCAGAGCTATACACTAATTTGTAAATATGCAAGCCTGGGTAGGATTCAGCTGTAGCTGGTTAAGTATTGCCCTTCCCACAAGTGGTTTTTCACTCCTCTTTCCCAGTGCTATAAATATTGTACATTTGGCTGGGAAACGCAGCACTCCCAAACCTAGGATGTAAGAAATTAAATCCATACTTCACTTATTCTGAACATAAATGTTGTAATGGTCCCTTGATATAAACAGAACCTCTCCTAGTATATGGTGCTTTGCTAGCTTTTTCTAAGATAATTTTTAAATTTTTGACTTTCTAAAGCTTTCTTAAAAGGCATTGTTTCCCACTTACAAATTCAAAATAAAAGTGTTTACTGTAGCATTTTAAAATGACTGACAGCACAATCCTGTATATGATTGCTCAGAAGTGAGACCCACTGTGTTTAAGAGGGCTCACTCCCAGGTAAGTATGCCTAGGATTGTAGCCAGAGAATGAAATTTGCCAAGTATTGGTGCTATACACAAACCATTCATTTCAATGGGGCTTGTATATGTGGTTCTATGCAAGCATCATTGAAATGAATGGATTGTATAGCAGCAGGATTCAGTGCATTGAGCCCCGAACACACAATTGACATTTCTGGCAATTCTTTATTATTTATTATTTTTAATGCTAGGTCATTTGTGTGTATGTATGTGTGCGTGCGCGGAGGCACTATATTCTGTGCAGTTTATAAAGAATGAATTGCCAACTTGCACAGTTAGTTTCCTCAAATATAAATTAGCTAGCAATCGGGTTCTGTAAGATACAAAAAACAGAGATATATTTGAAACCTAAAATAGATATATATATAAGGCATTGCTGCTGTCCTAGACACATTCTTTTTTAAAATCATTTTTAGGACAAGACATTTCCTGTCTCATATATATGTATTTGTCTGAACAAATTGGGGAGACATCTTTGTTACAATATACTCTTTTCTAATAGGTGAGCTTATTCCCATCAAATATGCTGTACTAAAGGATTTTTTTTAGTCTGAATCAGTTTGTGAACCATATCTTTCTGGTATATCTTTTATTAAAACTGCACTGTATAGTTTAGCTGTGGTAAACCAGTAGCTACATATTGGAATAACTTGATGTGTCCTAAATGTTGTTGTGGTATTGAAAAGCATTGTCGTTCTAAACTAATGATGTGCCAATAAAATTTTGTATTTATGAATGACAATGGAACTGCATCTCTTATTAGAATGCCAAAAATCAAATGTTGGCCAAAAAGGACCATTTTAGGAGAAATTTTTTTAAAGTGACTTTCTAGTTTATAAAAACAGGACTGGATGTGTTGACTTTTAGCTTAATCCTAAGCATGTTTATTAGGAAGCAAAAGTTGCTTCCAGTAAATGATTAGGACTGTAGCCCCAGTCAAACTTGCATCCTATATTGCCAGTAAGACTTGCTTATTGAAAGTGTCTCAGCAGGCTGTAGCAAAACCTAGTGATGACTCATGGAACATAAAATAAGAGTTACTGGCTTTCAAACTCCAAATTGCCTCCTCTTTATTTTTCAGTGCCTGAGCCTCTGTTCTATATACTAAGCAATTAGTCTGACCAGCAGTGTGTTCCACTGGCTTTCCTGGCATTTTGACCTCAGGTTTCAGGGAGGAACTAAGAATGTTAAATAATTGGTTGCAGTTAAATATATGATATTTCTACTGATCTTGGTATACCTCTTTGGATCATTTTAGTTTCAACTAATAAAAGATGCACAATTGAAATGTATACTTATTTCTGCTACCACAACGTGCCTATACAAATGTCATTCTTCTCACACAAAATATCATAGAGTACTGACTAGGCGAAGTTTGCCATTTTTGTAGCACTGGTAGGGCTTGTAATAATGCTGTGGGCAATAACAGTGGAAAGGAACCTATGGGACAGTAAGTTTAAACTTGACAAATATTTAGGTGATTTTCCTGTATTTAAAAGTCTGTTTTTTGCTTTCAGTTCTTGAATAAAAATGTAAGAAAACAAGTGTAGATAAATGCTTATATCTTATCAGGAACTTGTACATCCAAGCAAGGAGTTTGTTGATCTATTATTATTGGTTTTAGGTTACTTGAAATGACTTTGAAAGAACTTGAGGGGGGGGGTGACCTGATTTCCACTGAAGTTACATTTTCTCCAATTATGTCAGTTTGTGTCTTCTGACAATCATTATAAAAAGTGACTTATGTGCAAGCCTGATCACACAGCCCTTTGTTTATACATAGAAATTTCCCTACAGCTTTAGATACTCAATGAATATTGCCATTTTCTCCAGTTTATGTTAATTTCCTGTCCTAAAGAGGAAAAGGATATCACCTCCCAAGTGACAGCACAATCCTCATAATAATACTAATAATGCATGTCTACTTAGGAATAAGCCTAACCGAGTTTGATTGGATTTTCTCCTAGACAAGTACATATAAGATTGCAACTTATAGGACCTATATTTACAATAGCTGAAACAAATTCTTCAAAAACCAACCATAGTGATTCCAGTATGAAGAGAAATGCTTTCACAGTCATTCTTGCCCAGAATGAGACATAGTGTTACACTAGATTACTGTATACCAAAATGCATCTATTCCACATTCCAGAAATACTAGGAACACAAGATACTTACTAAGTAGTGGGCTATACAACTCCAAATAGAACTTTTTTTATACAAGTTGCATCCTACTTAATACAATTGTTTGTATGCAGTTTTTGTAAAAACAGCCCAATCTTAAGTGTTCCTTGTCTAGCAAATTTCATTTGTGGTAGCTGAGTGCTTTCCCTTCCTTAACTAGGTGTTAATTGTACCTTGAAATAACCTAATTTGGCAGGAGAACTTCAGTGTGGAAGGAATTGGCCACTGGGTTTGGTAGGGTACACATAATTATTACCTAATGTTATGTCTGATGGAATTTAGGTGTGCCACCTACAGAAAGGAGGTGGAGCCTGCCATTTCAAGAGATTTGTGTGATTGTAAGTAACTGGTCATGTGGGACAGTTATTATCAATAACAAACATATAAATAGTTCCAGCACTTCGATTTCTTTGCTAAATTATTACCTATCTTTTCGCAAAATACATTGCTGTGAAATGCTTCAAAGTTTGTGTAAGATCTCCCAATGCTGCTACAGCTTAGTTTTGGCTGCTTCTAACAATATTGAACACACATGGAGGTAGCTTAATTTGTATACTAAGCTTGCTATTTCATTTCCAACACTTGTTTGAGGATGCTAAAAATGAACCATGTATTGTGGCCTGCTGGATGTATGCAAACATGCTTATTTCTGCAGTTCCAGGAAACAAAAGAGGCTTATCATACCTCTACATGGCTAAGTTCGGCATAGCGGGTAGTCAGATGTGAGTCACTTGCAAAAAAAACCCATGGTGTCTGAACATCTGACAAAAGAATGGCTATTCTCTGCTGGGTTTTTTGTCACTTTTAAACCTGATATTTATTAAATCACAGCCGTAATTGTGAAATACGTAAAAGTGCTGAAAAGTTGGGAGTAGGTTATTAGATTCAGTTGCTATATATCATGATAATGTTTTAGGAAAAGCCTTGGATATAGTGTGCAGTAACAGACAAGTACCATTAGGTGTCACTGGTGTACTTCATATAAATATATATTCACCAGAAGTAAAATACAAGCTTTCTTAAACACATTTTGGCTTCTCCACAAGGGAAAGATGTTGGTTCAGAACACAGGCACACAAACACATACATTAAACTTTGTGGAAATAACACAATATATAGTATCTTCAATAAGAAAACAATACATAACGGTATAGAATATCTTTTTAAAACCCTAAACCAGGGCAAAATAGCAAATTTAAGTGTATGAAGCCAAGGTCAAAGTGAAGTGTTGTCTTTGGCTTGCTTGTCTTCCGTCACCCATGGTGGAAGCTGTGCCTCTTTGAAGATGGAATGTCACTGGACTGGGAGGTAAGTAAGCAAAGTATAGCAGGGTACTGGGACGGTTGCTCACTATGTCAGGAAACCTGTCCTTGGAGCCTGCCTGGAACAGACCAGGCATGCCTCCCCTCAGCTATGCCTCCATAGGTGCAATGATTTTCAAATATGTTCCGGCTTGGTCATTGATGGAGTTTCCAAAAAGCAAATTTCTACAAGGGCGTGGGGGAAGAGAAGTTATTTACATACAGAGAGCTGATTGGCCTTAAGAGGTTGTGATAGAACCTAACAGAAGGGTGAACTTGAAGATATGTAGGACTCAAAACTGTTTAGGGTGTTATAGGTTGAAATCGGTGTTGTGGATTGTGCCTCAAAGGCACTGGGGGATATGATGCAGACACTGGAGTACTTGATTAATGTGTTCTTGGTGAAAAGCCATTATCAGTAGAGGACAGTATTTGCCAACCATTCCGTGCCTGGAAGAAGCTCCAGAAGACACCACATTGCAGACATGATGGCTACAGCAGCACTGGATTTAGTTCCCCCTCACAGAGCACTGAGCTGAGGGGTACAAAATTGAGAAGATCTATTCGGGGGCACGCCAAATTTTGGCCATGCACAAGGCACCATATGATGAAAGATTACCAATGTCTGCCCCTGATACTACTACAACATGGTCCTTCATTTTTAAAAAAAAAAGTGGGAGGGAGGGATTTGTCTATCTGGTGCTTACTGTGGCAGCATCCTACTAATATAAACCAGAGACAGGAACTGGCAAAGGCCCAGCTTCAAGCAAAAGAAAGGAAAAAACCCTCAGAGAAGTCCTGAAATAGCAGAACAGGAAGCACTTTAGAAATTGCGATCGATAACTCTGACTGGAAAGCTCACTCTAACGATGAACCCACACCATTTGAGCTGGTTTGCTATATTTTAGCGTGGTCAACCATCTCTGAAATGGACTGCTATTTTTGGAAGATAAAAGTAGATAACATTTCAAGCATATTTGATTAGGAAAATCCTCTAAGAGCAGCATGTCCTCTGCTTCAGCTTCATGGTTGTCATAAAAATATTAATGCTGTGGCTTTGTACATATGCACATTTTAGCAGGTTGTGGCAAATGCTTTCCTAAGCTAAAAAAACTATTCTTGGTGAAATATAAAGACATCCTGATCCATGACACACAGAACAAGAAAGGAAGAAAAGTCTAATAAAAGGAAGAAACCTGTGTTCTGTGAGAGGAATTCCTTATAAATAGGGAAATTTTCAATTAGTAAAGCAGCAGAGAAATTACCTAAGTTTGTGTCAGCTTTGTAAGACTAAACAATTCTTTGTAAAAACAATTATTACCAAATTTAACAAGCTAAAGTGGGGAAATTCCTATGACTGCGTTTGTTGGTGTGCAACTATAGGCATATATACTTGTGACCTTCAAGAGAGGAGACAATTCACTAGTTCCTATTATCAGTTAGGGTTTAATGGGCATTAATTGCTTTAAAAAAACGCTTTGCAGTTGAGTTCTATGCATGCTTATTTAAAAAGTAAGCCCTGTTCAAGGGGGCTAACTAGTAAGTGTGCCTAGGATTGCAGCCGGATTTATTTACTTATAAATATATTTATATGCCAACTCATATAAAATATCAAGGCAGTGTACAACAGCACCTGGGATAGCTTATAATAATATGATATGATATGATATGATATGATATGATATGATGGGATAGAGCATAAGACTCAATCTCAGGGTTCTGGTTTGAGCCCTATTTTGGGCAAAAGATTCCTGCATTGCAGGGAGTTGCACTAGATCAGTGTTTCCCAACCTTGGGTCTCCAGCTGTTTTTGGACTACAACTCCCATCATCCCTAGCTAGCAAGACCAGTGGTCAGGGATGATGGGAATTGTAGTTCAAAAACAGCTGGAGGCCCAAGGTTGGGAAACACTGCACTAGATGACCCTTGAGGTCCCTTCCAACTCTTCTGTGAACCTATAGATTAAAACATGAAACACCATAGAAAGAATGCAAAATAATAATTAAAAGGACTGTCTAATCAAGGAAGTTTAAATAGCTACATAGGCCTCTTAGCATAAAACAGTCTTCAATAGATAAAAATAGATAAAATGCTTGCAGGATCTCTGCTGGAAGAATATTTTAGCTGAAGCCACTCAGACCTCTGCAACACAGGTACAACTAACGTGTCCTCTGCATGATGTCAGTGATTGAGCTGGGATATAAGGACTCAGGCAGTTAAGGTGTCCAGGGCCCAATTTTCTCTGGGCCTTGTATATTAATAAGAGAACCTTGAACCTATTCTGGAAGCATATGGGCAGCCAGTGAAGATGTTTTAACAGAGGTATTACATACTGTCAGTCATCTGCCCCAATCAGCAGTCTAGCTGCTGCAGACCCTGAACTGCAGTAATCCAGTCTCAAGGTTACCAATGCATGGATTACAGTGGCTAGGTTATTCTGATCTAGATATAGCTACAATACTTGCTTCCTTCAGAGAGAGTACAACTGCATCCAAAACAGGCACCAGTCTTATCTTCCAAATCAAGGAACCATCTACCACAGAGCCTCTGTCTTCTCAGGATTCAAATGCTATT